CGGGTTCTGTGCTGACACCTATGAGCAGATTCTCCCTTTTCACTCTCCCTCTCTGCCCCTCCCCTACTTGCGCATGCACACACATTCACCCTCTCTTTCTTGTTCTGTCTCAAAATAAATAAACTTAAAAAAAAATCGGCTTTTAAAATTCGGCCAGGAATTCAACCATATTCTAAACCCTATTGTTATGATACATTTGTAGGTCTGTACTGAAAGAAATGTCGGATCCCTTTTCTTCACCTTACCCAGGAATTACTGCATTTCAAGAGCCAGTGGTTAATAATGGTTAATACTAGCTGTGCTAGTAAGAGTAAATGTAAATGCTTTACTGACCATGAACTCTTTAGCTTCATAGTTCAAGATGCTAGACTAAGCAGAGTGAAAGCAATAATACAAGCACTTAGAAATGAGCAGGAAGTCAGCAGCTGAGTTCAGTCAACTTCTGGAAGATAGTATCCTGGCTGATGAAACAGAATTGGAGATAGGAAAAAGCAAGGGCTCAGAACCCAAAAGCACAGACTAGGAGAGTGGGAAAGAAATGGGAAACAAAACCAGGGGATTCATAGAAATTTCCATAGAATAAATGGTTCTTCTGGGGATTCATAGAAATTTCCATAGAATAAATGGTTCTACCTGGTCCCTCACTCTCAACCAGGGACAGGCTTTCCTAGCCCCACAGGGAGAGTTTGAGTTAAGCCTCCAATGTTAAACCTGTCCCTTGAGACAGAAGGAAAGCAACAGAATTTAAGTGAAAGACTTGCTAAAGCTGGCAAAGACCATTCAAGAAAGAGAAGAAGAACTTGGATTTAAAACTTTGGTGTTAGAATTAGTCAAAAAACTATTCAGAAAAAAATAATAGAAAAGGCAGGCAGATCCAACATTGAACTGTCAGGCATTCTAGCAGACAGAAAATGGAATAGAACGTTTCCCAGGATTGAAGGTTATCTTCAACTTGAAAAGACCTTCACCAGCTGGGAGAAAGAGGTTGTCTCCAGCTGTTCAGGTAACTGATGAGAAAGCCCTCTCATCAGTCTCCTCGGTGACACCAGATGTGCGGTCCCTTCAAAACTCTGATGAAAAAGGACTTTAAGTCCCGTCTCGTATACACAGCCTTACCTTCAATCAAATGTGAAAGCAAAACGGTTATTTTCACACATGCAAGGAGTCCATTTGTCTGAGACTCTTTGTGAAGAAAGTATTTTCAAAGCGTACTTCAGCAGCATACAGAAAAGCCTGGAAAGAGGACAGCTATGCAGGAGGGCCTGGAGCAGTCAGTGTTGGTGCAGGTGGCTGGAAGTCTCAGAACTGTCTCCAGGGCTTATGTGTTCTGGGTGGTATGATTGAGAGCTGCATTTGGAGTCTATTGCGGCATAACACACCACCCAAAACAATGATACTTGTTAATTCTCACAGCTTCTGTGGGTCAGAAATTCAAGAGAGGCTTAGATGAGTTCTTCTGCCTCAGGGTCCCATCGTACAGTCAAGACACCAGCCCAGTCACAGTTGTCTGAAGGTTGACTGGGGCTGGGGGGTCTGCTTCCAAAATGGTTCACTCACGTGACTAGCAAATTGGTCCTGGTTGGCAGGAAGCCCCAGTTCCTCACCTCAGGGCTTCTCCAGATGTTGGGTGAACTCAAACATGGCGCTGGCTACCTCCAGGGCAAGAGACCCAAGAGAGACAGATCTAGCAGCAGCTCTTATTTTTTTATGGGTTAACTTTGAAAGTCATAACAGCATCACTGCCCCCACACTCTGTTATGAGTCACTCAGCCTAGCCCACATTCAGGGTGAGGAGAATTAGACTCCATCTTTTATGAAGGGACCATTGTGGACATATTTTAAAACCACCATAAGAGCCTAGGTCATTGGGGTACATTTTCTTCATCAAGTGGCACAAAGGTTATGGTTTTCAACTTGTACGGAAGGAATAATCCTGGCATACAAGTAAGCTCTGTAGGAATGGTAGTTGCGGTCAAAATAATGTAATGCTTTTTCAGAATGAACCTATAGATAAGATTTTTATTACAGAATGGAAATACTAACCTTGACAGTGCAAAAAGGGATCCCGGATGTAAGAGGTGCTCATTACTGAAAATATAGTAATTTTCCTCCATTAAAAAGACTCAACACAAACTGAAATGTAAAAGAATTTACTGTTTATTAACCTTTTTTAATGGCTTTCCTAGCTCATGCTTTAACAAAATGGAAGATGATTTAGGTGTTTTAAAATAGCCATGAAAAAAAAGTTGTGTCAGGGATCTTTCACAGCCTGAGGATGACCAGAAATCTGAGTAACTTTCTTCTCTTCTTCTAGGTGGGTGGGATTAAAGACAAAGTGCTAGCGGCACACAGAGCAGGATTGAAGCGAGTCATTATTCCTCAGAGGAACGAAAAAGACCTCGAAGAAATCCCAGGCAATGTACGACAGGATTTAAGTTTTGTTACAGCAAGCTGTCTGGATGAAGTTCTTAATGCAGCTTTTGATGGTGGCTTTACTGTCAAGACTATACCCGGTCTCTTAAATAGCAAACTGTAGGCCCAAATCCTGACTTTTCAGAATTACAAGTTACAAAGTGCCAAATGGCACTGAAAAGGTTTTTGTTCATACCAGTAGAGGTAAGCTGTGTCCCTAATCTTTGAACATGATCACGACAGTAACAAACCTCACTCAAATGGCTAGTGTTGATTACAGAAATGTTAATTGAATAAACTGATTGATAAAAATGGAATTCTTGTCTTCAGTGGAATCATTACTGGCCTTGGAGAGGTACAGAGCAGAGCGTCAGTTTTAGGTGTGGTACCTGAACGGAAGTGTCTGTACTGAGAACCTGACAGAAATGTAAATTCTCAGAGCCCACCAGCAGATCTTCTGAATCAAACTCTGGGTGGTGAAGGCCCAGAAACCTGCTTTGGGAAGACCTGCAGAGGATTCTGATGCATAGTCAACATCAGGAACCATTGGTATAGACTTGTTACCTTAGCAGAGTCACCTGGAGAGGTTATCGGATCCCAAAACAACATAGAAGGGGCGCTGGGCAAAGATGACAATATCAACCATTAGTCTTTGTGGAAACTATTCAGTGAGGTAAAGCTGTGGCGAGGTCTACACACCCCGGGAAGGATGCTGGTTAGTGCTGAAGGAAGGGGCATTGAGAACAGAACCAGCTGGCCTGTGTTAGTGCACACCATGTTTTTAAAAAGTCCAGTCCCCAGAGAAAGGCTGCCATCCACCCTGGCAGGGTCTCCACTCTTGGTATCCTGACTCTTGTCACTTCCCCTCTGCTCCCTGTCCGCCTGTGCCAATCCCCAGATCCAGTACTTTCCATGTTCCCTTCTCATGTGACTTAATCTGGGCTCTGGAGAATGAAGTCAGGCTCTTCCGATTGCTTAGCTGTTTCCTTACCTGTAAAATGCAAGCAATAGTACTGAAGTCCGTGTTCCCGTGAAGATGAGGAGAGTGCAACGTTCAAACGATGCTGACCTGACAGTCCTGTGTTACAGAATGCTGGGACACGTGTAGATACTGGAGAATGCCTGGGAGGAGCATGGGGTCTGCAAGTTACCCAAATACTTGCCAGTAAAATCTATGCTCTGGAAACACACATCCAGATCTAGGGTTCCTTATGTCCAGTGGGAGAGCAAGCATTGGGGCATTTAAAAACATTTCATGGATCACTGTTAGGACTTCACACATCTACTCAGCCATCTTTACAGGGGAGGAAAAATACAATGTTCGTTTACTGTCAGCAACCAGAGGGAGCTGATCCAAACCCAGATCACTCAGCCTCATTACACCTAGAAGCAGTAGCAACAGAACACAAAGTGGGACTTAACCTTGTGTTCTTCCTCAAGAGTCCTAAACACAAATGATCTTTGGCCATTCTGAAGGCAATTGCAGAATCCTGTCAGGTGCCTCTGGGTAATTAGCAAGTTAAAGATATGGTGCTAGTTAAAGGCATAATAATAGCAGCTAACATTTGTTGGGTGCTTATTATGTGCAAAGCACTGTTCTAGGTTAACTTACTGGTATCACATCTCATCCTCTGGGGTAGCTACCCTAATTAACCCTATCATACACATTAGAAAACTGGGGCCCAACGTCCCATAGCTGATAAGCAGGGGAGAAATTGAATCGCGTTTAGGTCCTTGGAAGTCTGCTATAGAGCCCAGGCTCATAACCATTAGGCTGTGAAATACTAACCCCTCTTCATTGGGTTTCTTAAGGGGGAAAAAGTGATCAGCATTTTAACTAACTATAATTAGTCTCCTAACAGAATTGTGAGAATACAAATGTGAGAGAGAAGAAAAACTAAACTCTGTAAAGAGAGGCCAAACATTCATTTGCTTAGAATAATTCTATCACACTTCAAAATACACACTATTTTCAGTTATGAAGTACAGAACTGAATAGAACTATTTGGATTTTAATCAAACTTAGAGCTAAAGCAGACACGTAAGAGTTTTTAATTTGCCAGATATTCTTTTAATGAGAATTATAAAAGACCAAAAACATTTTTTGCAAACTGCCTTTTTTTAAATGATTTGCTTTTGATTACAAATACTGTGTAAGACGATGCCTTCTTTTGCAAAACCAATAAATACAAGAACAAATTTTAAACATGTGATTTGTCCAAGATATTTGGAAGAAAAAAATAAGCCTGATTTTTTTTCCAGAATTAAAAAAAAAAATCAGTATTCCCTAACCTTTTAAAGAATAAGTTCAAAGATGTGACTCAAGTGGAGAAAGAGAGACAGAGACCATCTTATAACTGCTTTAAATACCTTCTGAGAATTCTGATGTTACCTTTCCTTTCTGTAATTCATACCTTCACGAAAGAGTTGAATTTAAAATATTTCTAATGAACTGATTAATGGAGGAAAGGAAAATACGTACTGAACACATATGTATAAGTTTTATCATAAACAATTATGCATATCAAAGACACTAACTTTAAAAAGGTACAAAAAAAGTGAGAAAAAACCTGAATTACAACAGAAAAGAAAGTCAAATTTATTTAATGAAAAACTAGAATAAAAATTAGCAAATACACACAAAAAATATACACACACAGCAGCACTATGTATTGACTCACAAAGGGAAAAGCAGTGGTCCGAGACCACTCAACATGGCTTGTCGGTTAAAGAAAAAAATAAACACACACATACACACGCGCGCACACGCACACAAACTTGCGGGCACACACACAAAACAAAAACCCGGTATTTTTCAACAGTACACTCAATCTACAACACAAATTCAGAATTATTTTACAATGCTTCCTTTCTTAATACAAAAGATGCCCATCTTGGGTGTATATATATATATTTTTCAGTGGTTTACTGCTGACTTAGTTTTAAATATATTAGTGTTACTACATGCAACTGTTTCCTGTATTTAACAGCCTTTCCTTTTATTTACCTTCATGTGTCTAGCTTCCACCTACCAAAAGTTACAGGTTGGCAGGCAGACGGGTGCCTTATTCTCTGTGAAACTGAATGCAATGGTTTTAAACACTGGCCAGAAAATGTTTGATTGCCATTTCAACACATGGAAATAGTTACATTGATGCCTAAATTGCCATTTTCTGCAAAAAGCTGTGCAATGCTGGTGTCAAAGACTAGGCAGTCGCTATTCATAATGGCTGTTGCAATTCCCTCATGAATAGATCGCGGAGTGGCTTCCCAAGTCAATCGCCGCCTATGTCCATTTAGCTCAAGTCGATAAGCAAAATTTTCAGCTTGCTTGCGTGTTCCTATCAGCTGTACAATTGCAAAGAACTGCTGGTGACCGTCGTACTTCTCCTGTTTCTCCAGAACTAACATGAAGTGAAACCCAAAACAGGACTGCATCATCACCCAGTCAACAGCACCAGGAAGGTTAATGTCTGTAGCAAGGAAAACTATATCCTCTCCCTGCAGGGTTGTAATGGACTTATGCTGATGCATCAGATGGGGCATTACAGCATCCAAAGAGCCTTGCCATTTACAGGAAGCACCAGGGCACGGACACGAATAAGGCCTAAACTCACAGAGCTCTTCATGGTCTGCTTTTTCTGTGTGTGGCAGAGTTATTTCACATCCAGAAGAGGCATATTTACAAGGGAAAAGTACGGAATTGGCCACTTTCTCCATAGCCAAGTTGCGAATAGATCCCAACGGACCCCGGCAAGTTGGACAACATGTGAGCTTTGGGCGACAGTTGCTACAAACAAGATGGCCACTCTGACACTGAAGAATGGGTGGTAACACATAGTCAAAGCAGACCGGACACTCAAAAAGACTCGCCAAGTCATTATTGGATGCAGTTGTGCCAGTCAAGGCAGGCACCCTCTGGGACGGCGTACACTTTGAGGTTCCAGTGGGTAATGCTGTTGCAGTCTGGCGGCTCATTTCTGTAACAAAAACATAAATAAAAATAAAAGGAGGCAGGAGAAAAATAGCTACGACTATCATTTGTTTCATAAATAAAGTTTACATGCCAGAATACTTAAGTTTCATGCAAATGTACTGTGAACAAAAGGATAATTCAGGAACATAGACACAGGATTTAAAAACCATAAATCACACTACACTAATTACACATTTTGATTATTAGGAATTGTATACCAGACAAAAGCTCTTTATCAAAATGTTCCGGAACACACGCATAATTCCTGTTTAAGAACTATTAAAAATCCCCTTGGATGGTTTCTAGCTGAAACAGAAACTGGACCATAAACTACTAAGAAACACTAAGTAGCTTAAGTCCGATCAAATAGTTTTGAATGGACTTTCTCCTCCTTCTGCCCTGTGTTCAATTCCCCTGCTCAGTCTATTTCTTTTCCATTCTGAGTCAGCCACCAGCAGCTACAGGGAGCTACAAGTGATCCAAAGGGTTACCAGGGCACTAGCTTTGGTGAACTCTGCCTAATGGTAAACAGCTATCTGCTTTAGACATAGATTTGGGGAATGGAGGGGGTCTGCTGCCATCCCATCATCCATCTTCTAGGAAATCTTCCCCTAGAACGCTAACATCAGCTAGTGCCCCACACCTCAAAAAGTGGGGAGAAGAAAAATGGAAGGCCATCTTCAAAAGTTCTAAGTTTGGTACTTAGAGAAAGTACATCTTTCTATTCTAATTCCATTCCCCAATATAAATCAGATATACTATGCAAAGGAGAAAAAGAGTCAAAAAAGAAGGTAAATAAAGATAAAAGCACAAGAGAGAGCCACACAATATTGGGGACAGTACAGTCAACAGGTTAAGAATTTCTTGTACCCTACCAGTGTTGTGAAAGCATTTACCAGCACAGCAATAAATATTACTTAAGAGATAAATGTCATCTGGAAGAAATGACAATATAACTTGTCAGGCTAAATGAAAGATAAAGCAAACACCTTCCCCATGAATCTACCTTTGCTGGGATACCAGGCCATATTTATCTTGGGGGGAGAGGGGGTAATAAAAGATCAGTCTACTGATGTCCTAAAAGTGTATTCCCAGTAACTGTGTAAGCCTTATTTCTATAAAATGAAACCTGATTTTCTCAAATTTAATGTTTTCTCATTTATAATTGTTATTCTGTTGCAAAGAATTTAACTTTGAAAAACCAATGCTAGTTACCAATGTAACCATATAAATACAATTTGGGTTCTAGATTACTCAAGGATAGACATCTCAAAGGAGGGTTCAGAGTGGCAAAAAAAATAAATGGTAATGCCACAGTCACTAAACATTCCAAAATTCAAGAGTTTACAAAACTGCAGAATTCCATCATAATGTGGCTTATCACATGGATTTAGGAACAACAGGAATCAATTCTCAACTGAAACACTGTATAACCCAGGTGTAAGATTCTTTGTGCATATGATGATCCATGCATTTTCCATCACTTGTGAAACAATGGGTTCAGCATTGCCAAAACACCGCCTATATATGCTATATGCTTGTTTCATGGTCTATCTTATACTATACTGCTCACTTAAGTGAGCAACATTATAATTGGAAAGTGGTTCCCTGAGCAAAAACAGTCTAAACCACCAGTGCCTTTTCAAATGACTAAACCAAATTACATGAAGGGGCAGTAAACTCAGTTTGTATTCACATAATATAACCTGGAAAATATAAGGAAGAAAAACATTTCATTAATTTCTTGACCTAGCCAAACAGCTATACATTGATCATCAATCATCCAGCTTATGTTACAATGTATCTTTATTATTTTCCTAAACACCATAGAAAGCTGGATTTAAATCTCTATCTAAAGGGTGAAAACAAGTGAAGTGAGGCAGTATTTCTTGTGAATGGCGGTATTACAGGACAGCAGCTGTTAAAACCTCCCAAAGCTCCCATTCAAACAAACAAAAAATCCCCACCCAATAGCAGCCCTGCAGTAGGAACCAAGGACTAAAGTGGCTTTGGACAACCCTGCAGGAGTGATGATGTAACCTGAAGCTTGGTTTAAACAGAAAAGTACAGCAGATCAAAAGAAACGTCACTGCAAACTCGAGCTCAATTATGCTGCAGCCACTCCCTGATCCAGATTCCACTGGCTTACAACTTTCCCACTTCATAGTTTAAGCAACCCAGTCAGTCTCTTAATGTCAATGTCAATACCTTTTCTCTTCCTTGTCCCAGCTGCAGGTAAACATGTGAGCAAGATGCCTCTCCAGGAGTACAGAAAAGGTGAGGTAGACTTCCCGGTCATGAGAAGTCGGGCAGCTCATAGCCTATAATACCCCTGAAGCAAATACAATTTGTAACAGAGGCTCCTCCTGGACACCTTCTGTTCCTAAGCATGTCCGATGTCAAGTTTTCAAGAAGCGAAGGTAAGTGTCCTGCTCTGTAACACTCCATTCACTCTTCAAAAGCACCGGCTACCGCAGCAGCAGAGAAATGAAGCCTCTCCCGTCCCAACAGGAATCGACCACACCTCCCTGCGAGCTCGAATTCGCCTGCGTTTCCAAAAATGGGCGCCATCACTGAGCCGTCTTCTACTGGGCCCTAAACCGTCGGTCCTGGAAGTTTGTCTTCCCCAGATTCATTAGCTAACCAGATCGGGGGAAGGACAGGGCCTTACGATGCGAGGAGGCTGGAGCAAGCGCGCTCTCGGAGCCAACTCTGGAGCTACTGCTGGGTCCGGCCCGCGGGGAAACCCACGCGTAGTCCAGGGCTGGGGCCTGCCCACTGCTGGAAAAGCCTGCTCCAGCCCGCAGTGCCAACCGGCCCCAGGATTGCAGCGCCCAGCCGCAGCTAGTGTGGGGCGGGGCTGGTGGGGCGGGGACCACAGGGGCGGGGCTGGCGCGCGGAGGGTTCGCCTGCAAGCTCCGCCCTCCTAGCCCGGGACTGCTCCAGGGCACTGCGCTGTGCAACTCAGACCCAGCCCTGGACCCCAGCGACAATGTGCACACCTCAGCATCTTTCCACCAGCTTACATTTAGGCAGAAACATGCCCTTCTGTAGAACAAAGCAGATACTGATAATCTGGTATGATTTCAACCTAAGACCTACAAAGAATGTATGGGAAATGTATGGCCGGACAAGTGCTCTTCTGCTGGTTAACTGTGAACACTTAAGTGTTTATAGAATGAAAGTATTCTTCCCTCTTCATTCGGTAACTATTTACCGGGTGTAAACTACCATATTTCCGCAATTCTACCTTACTTCACCACTTCAACCCCTGTTGGCACCATACTTTAAACACCCTCTACCCTTTGAAAAAACTGCAGTGAGAGTAGTAAACACACATAACCATATTAAATTCCTTCTTCAACTTCCAAATAGAGCTTATATTCTCTTCCCACTCTGGGAAAACCATCTTAAATGGCCTCATTAAACAGAGAAGCTTGTTTTGTTTTTAAAGAAGCATTACCCGTGCCCCAGTAAAGTCCTGGGCCTCAGATTTGCACTGCGTCAGGTAGTATACTCAGGGGTTTAACCTGTCATTACATCATGCTTATAGGGCAGCCTATAAACACAGCAGGAGCTGGTAGTGAGTGGGAAGAGAACCCTGTGCAGTGAATTGTAGCTTACCCACTTCCACATGAAAGTTTAATTCTAAACACTTGCCCACCCTATTAATAGTGTGTTCAATCACTTCAACCTTATTTTAACATTAAGCTACACAAAACATCATTAGGAATGGAAAGACCACTGAAAACACACTGTCTGCTAACAAATATAAATTACTATTACTTACATTTTTATTTTATGATATATATTCATTCTAGATTGGTCTCAGGTTTCTAGGGTAGGAAGCTTCAAATTTTTTAGGCAGAGCAACTCTTTCCAAACAAAGCCAAACCCAAATATAAAAAACAAGTCAAAGGGAAGGACTGATTCCTCAAGGGGGAAAAAAAATCATTTTTTCCCAAACTTCCAAGGATCTGTACAGAGCCTTACAGCACCATCTGAAAACCATTAATCTACAGAAAAACCACTCAACAAGTGAGTAAGGACAATAAAAGTGGAAGCATTCTGGAGTCATCTACACACACTTGGATTCAAACCTGGTCTTCACCACCTGCAGCTATAAAACTGGGAAAATATTTCCAGCCTCACATAGCTTTTGTCTGGACTAAGGAAGATGGGTAATTTATGTATATCATAGATGATACATAGCCCAAAATACTAAGTATTCACCTGATTATCTCCGAAAGTCTCTTGCCTCACCTGAGTTCATCAACTAGTTAGAGACCTAGAAAGTGTGGGTTCCAAAAGATAATGTTTATTTTATAAAGGTGATTAAACATGTATGCCAAAGATCAACTGCCATTTAATTTTTAGCACAATAAACTTTAATAGAATTTCTCGACCAGATAGAATATTTACACTGGTTTAAACAGAGCTGAAAATTTCACAGAAACTACATTACACTAGGGGCATCTGGGTGGCTCGGTTGAGCATCCGACTTTGGCTCAGGTCATGATCTCACAGTTTGTGGGTTCGAGCCCCACATCAGGTTCTGTACTGACAGCTAAGAGCCTGGATCCTGTTTCAGATTCTGTGTCTCCCTCTCTCTCTGTCCCTCCCCACTCATGTTCTGTCTGTCTCAAAAATAAACCATAAAAATTTTTTTAATAAAGATAGGTTTAAAAAACTACATTACACGAAGACAAACCCTTAGAATACATTAGCAAAATCCCGAAATTTGTCAAGAGTGCCCTATTACCTATACTTTCGTTTTTACTTCTTTTCCTTTTTAATTACATCCAAGTTAGTTAGCATGTAGTGCAATAATGATTTCAAGGGTAGATTCCAGTGATTCATCCCCCCTATTACCTATACCTTCTAAAGCCTACATCTCAAGCCCAGTTTGGTATAAAATTTAGTAGATTTTAATCTATATCGAAATATTTCAAAGTCACCCTTTAATGCTGTCTCAGTAATTTTCAGAGTATTTAACCACTGCTTTGTCACATCAACATAGAGTAAAAAGTAGATGGATGTAAACTTTTTTTTAAGTTTACTTATTTGAGAGAGAGCATGCGCACACAAGAGGTGGGGAGGGGCAGAGAGAGAAAATCCCTAGCAGGCTCTGAGCCCAATCCATGTGGGGCTCAAACTCAGGAACTGCATCATGACCTGAGTTGAAGTGGGGCACTTTACTGATTGAGCTACCCAGGCCCCCCTGGACTTAAACTTTTATTATCAATTTCATGTGGGAATCTTAGTTTCTTTTTATAAAGGGCTGATGAACAACTTCTCTGATTAGCCATACCTCATGCTTAGTAATTAATATAGAACAACCTTTTGCAGTTTACAAAATGTTACTACGGCAGGCAAATAATGCCCCTCTCAACTATGTCTGCATCCTAACACCTGTGAAAATGTTATGTTATAGCAGTAACAGGAAGCTAATACAGTTACGTTTTTCTTTTTTTTTTTTAATTTTTAATGTTTTATTTATTTCTGAGAGAGAGAGAGACAGCGTGAGCAGGGGAGGGTCAGAGAGAGAGGGTGACACAGAATCTGAAACAAGCTCCAGGCTCTGAGCTGGCTGTCAGCACAGAGCCCGACGCGGGGCTCGAACCCACAAACCGTGATATCATGGCCTGAGCCAAGTCGGACGCTTAACTGACTGAGCCACCCAGGCGCCCCCTACAATTACTATTTTCAAAGTAAACATTTAAAATGGAGAAGTTGTAGTCTCATACGGAAAAATGACCAGGGTACTATAAAGCAAGTTTCAAACAGAACATACATGGGAGGTACAGCCTGGATCATGATATGGATGTGTGATTTTTGTCAATTTTTTTCTTCATGGGGGCAATAAATAAACTGCTTTATCAATAAACTTTTATCAAAAAACTGATTGAGAGTGGTGAAAACAATTGTCAAAATAAGTAAAATTTGCATTAATTTAGTAAAAAGGATGGGATGCAAATATCACCAGCCCTCTTTTATTTCTCCAAAAATTACTCCTAGAACTAATAATAATAAGTGTAATAATACTCACTGTAAAAATAAAGTACAGGTTCAGATTACGTATTTGTTCTATTAGGAATCAAGGAGTTAAATAAAACGCTTCCATTCACACATTTAAGAATTTTTCTTCCTTTCTTTATAATTATAACTCCTTTTTGAAAAAGGTACTTTCTACATTTGACACTGTGAAGTGTATTATGCAGAAAATGCTATGTTAAAAATCATTTCTATTTTAAGATTTACTTCTCACATGTTGACAAAATTAAACTTAACACAAGTCTCCTTAAAAATTTAACAGCTTAAAATGCCAAGTTTTTTTAAAAAATCAAACTTTGTTATAAAACAATAATGCTAAGAAAAAAACCTACTTTAATTTCCAAAACTGTAACAAATAAGAGCAACTTAAATTGTACATATTTTCCTAAAAGCTCTATTTTCCTGAAGATAATTCTGAAAACTCTTGTTGCTACAAAAGAAGAAATATTTATGTGTCTAGCAAGACTGGTGATCTGAAATGGGGAAAGCCCAGGACAAAGACCTGGTAGAAGGCTGATGGAAAAACAAAAAAGTCTGAACAAAGGTGATCCAGCCCAGTAAATGGAGAGGAAAGTGCAAACCCTAATTCAAACGTGTAAAGCAAAGTACATCTGTCTTTACTGTTGAAATCACTCTATTTTGAGACTTCCACCCCAGTAAAAAGCAGCATATACTGAATCAGAACCCATTAGGCACTGTGCTAGATACTGAAATACAGTAATAGATGACATGCAAAGTGGGAGCAGAAAAGCAGTTGATACACAAAAGGGCTCAGAGTGCCATCTAAAGTCATAGAGACAAGGAGCAGGCCTAAAACCAGAGAAATGCCAAGATTTAAAGACTGAAAGGTTCCTTAAAGAGAGGCAGTGGCCCTTAGCCTGCAGCAGTTCTCAAACTTTATTGTGCCCACTAATCATCCAGAGATCTTATTAAGGGATTCTGTCTAGGGATTCTGCATTTTAATGCAGGTTCTGATTCAGAATCAGAATTAGTCTGAGGCTGGGCCTGAGACTCTGCATTTTTAACCCTAGGTGTGGCCAATTGCTGGCTGAGGCTAACATGAGTATCAAAAGCCTAAAAGACTGAGAAGGAAAGCAAAGGTGAGAGAAAAGCAGAAAGAGGGCAGTAAATGAGAAGTCAAGGGAAGGTACAGACTTAAGAAGATCTATTAACACATGTACAAATATTAGAATAAATTATGCTTTATTATATATATACTTATGGGAGCTTGTACTATTTCTGTAATGAGAAAAAATAAAAGGCAACAAGTAGACATGCTTAAACATGTGAAAACTCATGGAATATAGCACCCATGAACCCCTGTTACTAGCAATAATCAAAGTAAGTAATTTAGAAGCGGTGATCTTTTAAAAGGATTAAAGTTAGTTAATGACTCCATTTAAATAGGGAAATAAGTCCACCAACCTTAGGCATTAAAATTATAAATTAGAATGTAAACAGTAAAATCTTTGGCAAAGTGCAATTACATAAACAGCAAAAAAAAATCTACAGTAAGAAGTAGTAAAAGTAATGGCACAATCAACCATGTGGAATCTGCTGAGAAGTCAAGTATGATCAGGCCCAACAGGTGTTCATGGATTGGCAATATGGAAGTTACTGGTGACCTCTGCAAAAGCAACCTTGGAGATAAAGCCAGTGTGTAAATCAGACCAAAAGAGACTGAACAGGATGCTGTGTGAATTTAAAAACCATGGCTATGGAGAGAGGCAAAATCCCAAGAAATGGAACAATATGAT